GATGCACCACCGCCCCTTTTCCTGACTGCAGGCTGCAGGCAGCAGCAAATGGCATGCTTTTAGCATATTTTACATGCCAATCTCTTGGCTGGCGTTGCGGGGCAGCGCGCGGCATTGCGTGGCAATGGTAGTGGTAAGGCAGAGAAGTTGCAATGACTGCATTTATGCACAAGTTGTAAGTAAAAGTTTTCGCACGCAAAACGCAGCCCGTAAAGTAAACACAGTCGACAACTAACTTTTGCCCGAAGGGCGCGCGCTGCGAACTGCGTGGGGTGAGGGGCTGGGCAAAGGTAGGGGGCGGCGGGAGCTTATGGTTGGCCACACGGCCATCTTTTGGCGCTCGGCTTGCGCTCAATTTGCTCATTTTTTGCGCACAATTACTCAGCGCGACTTAAAGTGCAGCATGCTACGTCTTTTGGGCGCTGGCAGGGTTCCACCAGCGTCCAATGTGGCACGTTGCAAGCTGCTGTGGCTGTTGCTGTAGCAGCTGCTGCTGCCCCCTGGCACTGAGTTGGCTTCTTTGAGCTGCTGACTGGGCCACCCGTAAGCCGTCTAAAAGGTGCAAAGTAACTGCCGTAAGCCGCTTGACGTGGCTGCCACCCTGGCTGCCCCTGACCACGCCTCTGCCACAATCAGTCTTTGAAAGCCAAAGCCAAAAAAAAATTGAAAAAAATATGTCTTAGAAGTCACGAAGATTAAATACCCTTGCGGGCAAGGGTATATATGTGTATCGAGTTAAAAAAAAACGTTTGCTTTCAAAGAGTTTACTTTCGGACAGATCGTACCTTTAGCTATATGATATTGTCTTCTGTTATTATTAAGATTTTGGCATGATATTTTGGATTTAGATGTTATATGCATGATATAGTCTGTAATAAATGATCGCTTGGTGTAACTGATAAATCCCAAGTTTGATCGAGATATCTTCAAGAAAAAGAGGTACTTAGCTTGACGCTAAACTTCTTCTGACATCTAAAGCGATGGAGATATCTAAAGCATAAGGAACTATAGTAATATAATCTCGCTCACATCGACAAAGCAGATTTATGACATCCAATAATGCCAATCCAATGTCCTCAAAGCTGAACCCTGGGCACACAGACGCTGTTGTCTATATCACGTCAGCACGTCGTCCCGATCAGCTATATCTATAAAAATATATACTTAATACATTCGTCGATGTCTCCTTTAGAGCGATAAAAACTAAATACCCTCTGCTGATACATGAAAAAGTTGTTGACACTGGCTTGGCGTGAATTACGTGCATATTGTCATTGTCGCTTTGACTTGGCTCACATTGCGTATGCGTAATTCTGAGACTTTGTCTCTGGCCCTGTCGCCATCTCTGTCTTTCGCCTTGTCTTGACTTTCATTGAGTGGCTTTTAATTGGCTGCCAGCGCTTAACCCTTGCCACATAAATCTTACTCACACATGCCACACACACACACAAACGGCCACGTTTCTGCTTCTGGCCAAACGCTAGTCAAATCGCCTTTTAATCTGCCGCATATGCTCGAGCATCAACTGACCAGAGGGTTTAATTCTGACACCCACATCGGACGGGCAGTTTTTCTTCTTTCTTCTATAGCTAGAATAAAAGCGAGGGAAAGAGAGAGAGGGAGAAAAACAGTGTGAAAGAGGACGTAGCAAGTTTTGTTCAAAGTTTTGTCCGCAAGTTTGCCACGTTAATAGATTCAACTGAAGGGTTGTGCATGTGGCTCCGTCTACTCGTCTAATTGAGCACAGTTTAAATGCTCATTTCGGAAATCTCCGAAAACTTATATCAACCAGAAATATTGCTTTTATTTAGTGCAATTTTTGTGCTCACAAAGAGTTTGCAAGTGCGTAAATCTTTAAAAGTTTCGATAGTTATTTAAAACTAAATCTTACTTAACAAAGTCGATTTTTTTTTTTTGAAAACTTTTAATGAGTCAGAAAAATATTATTCATAATTATATTCAGAAATTGTAGGAAAAAAATGCGATTTTCGTAGCGTTAAAACGTTCAGCTGAAAGTTCAAATGTATAAGAGCTGCCTGCTAAAAGCTTTAGAATACGGCGCAAAGAGTTGAGTTTTAAAAACGAATTATTTGAACAGAACTAAAGCAGTAAAATTCTTGAACACTATTTAATGATTCAGACAGTGAAACGTTTAAGAATAACTGTCAAAGAAGAATTGAAAAAAAAAGGAAGTTTAGACCGGAAATTTGTGTGGTTCTTAATTTCTTTATAGACTAGATTACTGACTACTCAAGTCTTCTTTGTCCGTTTATCGCAATCAATACTGTCGATAGAGTAAACGGGGCACTTGCGTTAGTTTTTTAGACTACCTGCCCAAGATTCAAACGTTCTTGCTTGAGCTAAAAGTAACAAAACTATATGCCCGATATTCTTAAACGTTTTACTGGCTGCGCTGAGTAGAAAACCAACGCAATCGATAAGCATTTTGACTTCCTACCCAAGTTTTCAAAGTTATTTTGCTTGCGTGAAACGTGCTATAAGCATTTTATTTCTATTTCTACTTTACGCCATATTCTTCAACGTTTCACTGGCTTCGCTGAGTAGAAACCCAATGGAGTAAACGAGACCTTTGATTTTCCTAATTTAAACATTTTGGACATTTACTTCTTTTTAACTTGACGCTAAACTTCTTCTGACATCTAAAGCGATTTCCAAGCAGGATCAAAGCACTGTCAATGCCGCTGTCAATATCAACTCGCACAACCCGGCACTCCATTATGCTATCCATTTGGCCATAAGGTCTACGCTTCATGGACCGATCCATTGACGCACTTCATTCCAGTCAATGACAAATGACAGCTGACTAATGGTGCGATGGGCATCGGGGGAATGGGTGTCATAAGAAGCAGCATTACAGGCTACATATTGCAATATTGAAAGGTGGGGGAGCGAACAGCGTGTAGTGTGGCTGGGTTAAATTTATGCGCTTGTTTGTTCAAAGTAGCGCACGGCAATTTCAATGGGGCGCCGCAATTGACAGAGTATGGGGCGTAAGGACAACTATTCATTTATCGTCTTATTTATGGGCGCATTTAAGAGACGACAAAGCGGCCAATGGCCAACCGCCTGTCAAGAGCGGTATAACCAACAGTTTACAGTACGATGGCAATTGGCCACTGCGTCCTGTGTGTGTACGGTATCGTCTTCTGTCTTCTCTGCTCGCTAATGGATTGCGGCACACAAATCTTTAAAATTACCCGGTAAAACTTTGAAATTAGACGTGGACGCAGCCAGCGACACAGGCCAACTGGCGTCAGTCTAGCCCAAAAGTCTTGGCTAATTTGTAGTTTCATATTTGATCAAAGGCCAACAAAATACGAGAAGAAATGCTGCAGGCAAATTGCTTTTGACTAAAGGATACCCTGTAAATTGGTGACAAAGTTATAAAATATATATAGACATTTATCTGACTAAATGATACTTTGTAAATTGCAGTACAAGATAATAGATAAATACGAACAGAAAGGAAATTAAATTCTCCAAAGCTCTAGAGCTTGGGAGTTGATATAACAAAAATCTTAACTTATATAGGAAATCATTCATCTTTAAGGCCAATTTGCCTCTGACTGTTACACATGCTGTCGGAATTGAATGCCACCTTTTATACACACATCTTCATTTACAGGGCATAAGAAAACGAGTTGCTATTAGGAACTGATTGCCCAAGTTGCAAGTTGTGGCCAAAAATTTGCTGCACATGTCGCTGGCAATTTGCTATCTACAAAATTGTTTGTGTCTACATACTTAGAGATGCAGCCCAAAACACTAATTGAAGGCCGCACATAAGGCAATCAAATTCAAAGAAAAGTGGGCGTGGCAGCACGTAATGCGCTTGACAATAGCCCAAAAAAATAAAATAAAATAAAAGCAGCCTAGAGATAAAAGCAAAAAAGTATTATTTGCTTGGCAGTAAAATCAGGCATGCGTACACATATATCGATTTAAATATATATATATATATATATATATAAGTATCGAGTTTATGCGCGGAAGATCCGGACAGATCGGGGCTCAGACTCCATTGGCTGACAGGCTATGGGACTTTGTCGAGAGCTCGCACCAAATCGCAAAATCCCAGGCATGTGAGCGCCTAAAAAACGGCTGCGAATAAGTAAAGCAAAGTCCACACACACACACACACACACCAGTCACACACAAACACACGCACACAGTCACACAGCCATTGAGCTCACATGGCAAATGTAACGTAAAACGTAAAATATTCCTGAATGCAATTCCCATGCATACCAACACACACACACACTCAAACACACTCTCAAACACACTCACACACACACACTGGCACACACACATGCACAGTTTTGTGGAAAAAGTCAAACTACAGCATTGCGGATGTTCAGGACATTCAACTGCACTTTGACCCATATTCCATTCCATTTTGTTGCAAATAGCTGCAGCTGCGGACGCACTGCACAAAAACGACCAGCACCAACAACAACAACAACGTCGCCCAAGGCCTGAACATGGCCAACAACCACCAGCTGCTGGCATCGACTCTAGACTCTAGACTCGGGCAGCCCAAACAGCCAGTAAATCGTTTAGCTGCCGGGCTCACGATTTGGTTTGTGAGAACGCACACCGCCCCCCCCCCTCCCCCCATCACCCCTCACTCTGCGCACTCCCTGCTGCAATCCCTTTAGTGTACATTGTTAACGGCAAATATCTTCTTCTAGCTTTTCGCATGATCTGGCCACACTGCGCTGATAGGCCAGTTTAGCGCAACACACATCCAAAAATATTTCTGTCACATTGCAATCGCCTCGAACGCCTCTCCGGGCACAGCGTACATTTTTTGAGGCCCACCTCTTCCGTTCATTTAATCACTTTTGGGTAACATCTTTTTTTGTTGTGAGCTTAAGCCAAAAAAACAAATATTATTTGATTTATGTTGCTTTTTGGGTCCTCGATTAGATTGTAAAATACCTTGAAAAACATATCAAAATATTTTTGCGAAAATCTTGCTAGGAATTTTAGCATATTCTGCATGTCTAAATATTTTGGGCAAATGTTTTAAAAATGTCAAATAAAAAATATCTTATGGTGCCAAGTACTGCAAAGCTGTCATAAAAGTGGGTGAGAGAAGCGAAGCACGCAGGAACACAAGGCTCACAGGGCGGAGTTGTTTTCTGGATTTTGAAAGAAAGAACCCAGCAAGAAGCAGTGATAGAAACGAAGTGAGAAGCAAAGCTCGAAGTGAAGTAAGGAGCAAAGCGAATACAATAAGCAGCGCGAAAAGCAAACAAGAAGCAAAGTGAGAAGTAAGTTAAAAAGCAAAGCGAGAAACAGCAAGAAGAAATTAAGAAGTAATGCAAGAAGCAATATGAGAAGAAAAGCGAGAAGCAAACTGAAAAGCAAAGGGAAAAGCAAAGCATGAAGAAAGTCGATTAGCAAAGCAGCAAGCAAAGTGAGAAGCGCAACGCTAAGTGTAACTCAAAAAGGAACGTAATAATTAACAAAACAAGAAGTGCAAAGAGAATCAAAGAGGAGCAAAAATAAAATGAAGATCGGCAAGCATAGCGAAAGTTGAAGAAAGAAGTAAAGCAAGAAGTTCAAGCAAATAAATGAGAACAAATTTAAATAAAATAAAAGTAAGCCATCAAGAGAAGTGAACAGAGAAGTAACAAAAAGAGGTAAAGCAGAAATCGAAAGGATTCAAAACAAGATGCCTTGTTAAGAAGCGAAGTGAGAAGCGAAACTTGTATTTTTTTATATTAAAATGAATCTTGAGCTTCAACTAATTTTACTAATACCTTAAGCAAATCCTATGTCAAATTAGTTGTGCTTTTCAACCCTTCAAGCATTGATGTCTCCAGTTAGCTGTGTCGATCAACAATTCCGGGTAAACGCAATTCCTAAAGGACACATCGAACCAACTCAATCATATTTCATCAAACAAAGGGCCAAAACGACAAAATGGACGGCAATAAAATAAACAAAAAAAAAAAAACAAAAAATGTTACAAAACGTGGCTGCCGTTTTTGGCCAATTCTAAGGCCCATTTAAAAGCGTTTGGGGAGTGGTCAGACAATTTGGCCAGGCCAGCTGCAAAAACCCAAGGCACAGGTGTGGGCCGCATCCGCAATGCAAGGTAATAAACCAAAAATACGTCAACAACAAAACCACAAAACCAAAAAACACACACAACCACACAAGCACTAACACACACACACACACGCAGAGGGACAGACACACATGTGTGTAAGTGTGTGTGTTTGTGTATGGCAGGTAAACGAGGTAATTTTAATTATGGCCACAATGGAGCCACCCTCAAAATGATGGCCAAATGCCTGACGCGCGCTACTTGGTTCATCAGCATGCCGCCGGCGTGTAGCAGTAGCAGCAGCAGACATTGCCACAGTTGTAAACGGGGAGAGTTTTATACTCTCTGAGAGGGTACTACAAGCTGTTCAAGTTATATATATATACATATACATATATATCTATATCTATATCTATATATTCATCCTGATCTGTGTGCAAAGTAGACTCTCAGCTTTTCATCGTCTCGAAAGTTGCAGGCTCTCAAAGTAACAATTAATCGATAATGTAGTTACTTTCGTTATTCAAGCTATCTTGACCAGCATTAATTATTATTATTATTATTATAAATTTTACACATAATAACATAGCATAAGTTTTCTGTTTCCAGATATCTTTATCAGCAGTTACAAGCACCGCTTTAGTTCCAGTCTTGAAGCCACATGTCTGGAAGGGTATTTAGCATACGACCGGTCGAAGTTAGCCCTTCTCTCTAGTTTTATTTCATTTGTTGGTAATGTTAACGGTAAAGCTATCGACATCGGATTGGCCTCCCAGTCGCTCGTTATGGATGCGCGCCAATTGCTCCGGTTGGACTGCAGCAGACGCAACGCTTTGCCTCTTAGCCAAATTACATAAATTAGTCGCGAGCTCTTTGCTGCTCTTCTTCTGCTATTTTTTTGTTTTTTTTTGTTCTTGTTTTTGGTCTAAATCAAAGCGCTACGAAAATTTAATGGACTCCTGTGTAAAGTTTGTGTTCAAAAGAAACGCACCCAAAAAAAAGGAAATAAAAACCAGGACAGACAACAACAAATGAAACGAAACGTCGAATACGTGATATTTAGGCGAAGTCAAAATAAAATGCAAGGCAACTATAATCCAGTAGTCGACCGGGCGATACCCTGTGGGCAGGTCTATGCTGAAATGGCATTTACGTACATATATTTATCAAAACTTTATCTAAATACTTTTGGCTGTAATTTCTTTTATATTCGAATAAAGTTCGGATACTATGTTCGTATCACACGATCTAGGAAATTCATCCCTACATTATTTGAGTTCAATTCTTAATATGCTTTTATTAATTTTAAGATCTTAAATCAGCTGAATATTTATTTCGTTTCAATAAATAGTGAGAAAAAATTGTTAAATAACTCAATTTAAATCAATATTTTCTTGAAAATTGTTGAAGCCTTGCTCCTCTTGGAATCATTGCATAAGTGTATCGAAATTATCCCATTCATTAGATTAATTTAGGCATATTTATATATGACGATTATTTGTTTAAATAAACCATTTCTTTGATTTGAAATAGTTTTCATATTAGTAAAATATCTTGAAATGTGGAATAGAGTTTTTTTTGTGTCTTCTTTCCACTGCCTGTTACACAGATTAGTACAGGCTTATCACACCCAGTTGTATGTATTTGTGGTCTACAGGGTATAGAAACGAAAAAAAACTTGGTTTTGGTACATTACTGATTTCATTAGAGGCCATGGAACATCGAATGAGTGGGGTTGTCAATGGGGTGTGTGTGTGGGTTTATTTTATGTTTTTTTTTTCATTGCTGAAGGGTAGCTTTGCTTTGGTTTGTTTGGGTTTGGCTGCTTTTTCGGCGGTGCACCACTGCGTATACGTAATGTTGCATTTTTAGTGCTCGTCGCATTCGTCCTGTTACTCGTTGTCTGCGGCTCTTGTTGTACATTTCTGCTGCAGTTTGGGAATTGCTTTGCCCCAGTCCAGAGGCGACCCAACGTAAAGCCTCGCCCCTGGTTTTGTGCATTTTTGCGCATACCTTTGGCAGTTTTTGGCAAAGTCAAAGGTCTGCGCGCCCCCCTCTTTGAACCGCCCTGGGCCACTCTGACCGCTTTCTTGTTGCGTTTCTTTTGCGGTCATAAAATGTAGCCGGGCCCCAAAACGAAATATGGGCCCAGGTCTCGCACATTGCACATCGAAAGAGGTAATTTAATTTATGATGCAGTAAAATTGAAAATCCTCCCGGGCATTGCACACACACACAAGCTGAAGGGGAACAGATAGAGACAGAGGGAGAGTGCGAGCGAGAGCGTAAGGGTGAGCTACAGAATTGGAACTCTGCTTTTGGTGACATGCTGCGCGTCTGTGTGTCCAACGGCCATGGCTGAGCCTGGCACCAGGTAGGCCTGACCAGGCTGACAGTTACAGATGCACAACTTGTTGGCCAGCTTAGTGAGATGAGCCAAGTTATGCATGCGAACGCGTGCCACAGCCGTTTTGATGAGCTGCATAATGCACTGCGCGAAAATCGGTCGAGGTTATGAAATTATCAAAAGCTAAATGGTGTTCTTATGGATTCTACTAGAGCTGATGGCAGAGTTTATCAAGCAGACTTTATATAAGCACGTATGTTACAATTTTGCCAGCTAGCTAATGACCGCATTTAATAAGTATAAGTTATAAAGGGCTTCGAAGAACCCATGTACCCATTTTGCTAGCCTTAGCTTTTGGAATCTTTCAGATGCTTGGGTTCTTAAAGCCCGATGTTGTGGGTACTGTGTGGGACACAACAGGTCTAGTAAGATCTGAGACTAATTTTTAAGTTAAATAACTGCCCAGAGCATATTATTTGGAATGCTTGTCAACTAAATAAGAAAACAGACCCTGAGAATGTGGAGTAAGCTATACTTCTCGTTAACTTACATAAACGGAGACTTAAACAAGACAATAGCTCTTCAGAATTGAACTGCATTGTACAAACATTTTGTAGTTTTTGATACTTATCCTACATCAAAAATAAAGGATCATTACAAAAATAGTAGCTGTGAAAGGCTTATCCATTAAAAGAAAAACAGATACAGCGTAGACTCGATATTGTGCAAAAAAGTAATATCAATTTGGACCCAAATCTAGCTTGAGAGAAATTGATATAAACGTATTTTGGAATGAAGAGCAGATAGCGTAATAAGATTAAGAGACAATATGAATTTGTGTGTTTATGAAGAAATGCCAAGTTTTATTCAAACTTGAATTTCTCGCAGTGCACATTTTGTCAACGCACGAGCAGGCATCGTGGCAGCAACTGGCAGTAACAATAAGAGCAACAGCAACAGCAACAACAACAGCAACAGAAAAAGCTGCATATCTACATAAAATAGCGACATATAGGCACTATATATACATATATATATATATATATGTGCATATATAGAGTAGCTACCGAAAAACTGATAACACACTGGTGAGCCGCATGGGCTGGACACGAGCCGAGGACCTTTATTTTGTTGCTGTTGTTGTTGTTGTTGCAGCGTCTGCAAGTTCCACACGGCGACGCTTGGCCCATGGCTTTGCATATTAAATATGCAACAGCCGCACGCGCTCAGCGCCGCAGACCAGCCCCTCTCCGCCATCCCCTTACCGCTGCACCGTTCCACGCAGCTCAGCCACAACAAGACCCATAAAGCACCTGGAAATGGCTGCCACAACAAAAGCAACAAAAATGCGCCTATCGCAGCCGCTGCACGAGGCATCCAAAAGAATTTACGAGCTGGCAACGTTGGGCAGGACAAGAGTCGCGCAGGTGCAGCGCGGTGCAGGGTGCGGATTGCAGTCGCAGCAGATATGACGTGCATCCAATCATTTTAACGCAAATAAACCACAACAGATGGCGCTGCGTGCGCCTTGTAAGTTGACGCACGAATGCGCCCCAAATACCAAATGCGAAACGAGTAAGCCGCCCTGCGCTAGTCGAGAGCGTACGAGACTAATAGATACCCTGTAGCTGTCGATTGCGGATCAATTTTAGGTGCTTATGCATACCAAAAATCAAGGCAACACAAGTAAAGATGCCTTCCTTTTTTTTAGATTTTGGCAGAGTATAGAAGTAATCAAAGAAAAATATATTCCGAATGAATGTGAGCTTAAGTACAAACCCAACCCGAAATAATGTGTCTCTAGCTCCTTTACTGCCCAGGAACTGCTCTATAAAACATAGCGGTAAACCGATATTTATCGATTTTGGAGACAAATGAGTTGTTATCGAAAATGCGATAATATTGCTTTGAGTATATTTAAAATGTGGTTCAAATAAAGCAGAAAATGTATATAAATAGTGGGAAAAAGGGCGATGATATTGAAAATAATTTCAATAAGGCACTTTTAATTTTCGAGGTGTGCCCAAATTAAACGAAGCTGGAAGTCGATATTAATCGATGCTGGGAATCTGAGCATGGAAGTTCGTATCGTATCGTATCGTTTCGTATCGAAGTATCAAAGTTAGCTATCATAAGTAGGTGCTGGTAATTGACAATGTGTATTTAATTTTTGAAGTCTGTATAGAAAGTTTCTAAGATAATCCCAATCGACAGACGAACAAATTGTCGTCCTGAACTGTAGTACATAAAGTGGATGCCATTAGAGATGCCCACTTGTCCCTGTTACGTACACTGGCATAACTGGAATATAACTCTACTTTTAACAAGCACAGGGTATTAAGAGGTAGGCGCCACACAAAAACTGACAACTGAAAAAAAGGACCTGCAACCAGGACGCAGCTCAGCTTGCGACACAAAAATGGATGCGTGCGTACCGCGTGGCAGCTTATCACAACTACAACAACAACAACACGAGTAACAACAACAACACGAGCAACAACAACGTGGCCGTAAGATGCTCTGGTTTATGCATGCTGCCTGGACCTGCGGTCACTTGTGGCATGCCACGCCACCAGTTTACTTTTGTTTGCGCTGCGGCCCCATCGCTGGCAATTGGAATTTTTGTCGCATTTACCCAAAGTGCAACGGGACACGCGGCGCCGGCAACAGCAGCAACAGCAACAGCAGCAACAGCAACAGCAGCAGCGGCAGCTTGTGGCCAATGTGCTGCAGATAAATCTCATGAAATAATTACACGTGTTACAGTAAATGCTGTTAAATTGCCAGGGCACAGATCGGCCCGCAACACACCCCCGCTCCCACAACCATCCCGCTTCACCCAACCCGCCACGCGCGCTGTTGTCCATGTTGAATGCATTCATGAATGAGTGGACTGCATAAGTGCCACAAGAGCCGCAGCAGCAGCAGCAGCGGCAACCACGCAATGAAAACTACTTGGCTAAGAGAGAGCCGCGTAACGACTGAGAGTGTTTCAATTTGCACAACACACACTCGCACACACACACACAACGCAGAAAGAAAGACAGAGCGAGCGGGCGGGTGTGCCATGGCAAGCCGCAGGACTTATATGCCCAATTGGGGAAAATGATTTTGTGCCACTGCGGCAAAAGAAATAAAATACAAAATTACAAACAAGAAATGAAAAGAAAATAAAAATTAAAAAAGAAAAATTATAATGATACAAATGCAAAAATAAATAAATGCATGACTAATGTTTACCCTGTAAAAATCAAAAAAATTAAAATTAAATTAAATAATTTAATAAAAAAGAACATGACACGCGCCCATCGTTGATAGAAGTCCGCACCTTGCTGCTACACCTCTAATGACTCTAAAACTGTATTTTTCTAAAAATATGACACAGGTTCAGTGGCTTTCAAGCTGTGACTGTAAAACCTTACTACTATGCACTTTTATCTGTTGATAGAAGTCTTCTTAATAAAACTTTAAAGCTGCTGATCCAAAAGCATAACCCAAATCATTCATATTCAAACTGTGACTCTATAACTGTGCCTACTATGCTTTGAACCTGCGAAGCAAATACTTTTCAAGACAGTGAACTTAAAAACTGTTCTTTTAAGACTTGATAATTAAGCGGTTCCTTGCAAGTGGTATTTCTTAAACTTACACCTAAGCGTTCAAATTCAAAATGTGACTCTTAAACTGTGCCAGCCAATCTGTGATTCTAAAAATGTCAGATGCAGACTAAGACTTCAAAACTGTGATTCTAAAACTCTTAATTCAAGACATAAACAAACAAGACAAGACTTACAAACTCAGTTTCTTAAACTTACACCTAACCGTTTATAT